GGTTCAAACACCACGACTGGTTCAAACACCACGACTGGTTCAAACACTGATGACTGGTTCAAACACAGACCACTGGTTCAAACACCACGACTGGTTCAAACACCACGACTGGTTCAAACACTGACGACTGATTCAAATAGGGATTTTGACCATCAGGTCTGGGTCAGGTCTGAATACTTTCTAAAGAACGAGGAGCAAATTATCTCAGGACAGACTAAATTTATTGCAACGGTTTTATTACAGATGGTTTACCCAGCTCCTAAAATAATAATAATAATAATAATAATAATAATAATAATAATAATAATAATAATAATAATAATAAAAAGCATGTTTGCATAAAAACAGAAGCTAACTCGTCTATTAAAGTTAAGTCAAGCCCTCTGGACAGAGTTTTAAAAAATGTCTGAGGAGCTGTAATAAATTCAGTCTCTTAAATAGCACCTTCTCAGAGTGGATCAACCAGTTTTGCTGCTGACAACCAGAACCAGCTGATCACATGCTCAAGAAGGACCATCAGCCTAACAATGGATCATTAGCACCTGATGGCTGTTTACTGTTCACAGAGGGCTGAGTGATACTAGCAATCACAGCATTGTAAGAGGGGGACAGTTGAACCCGGAGGCTCCGCCCCTGTTTAATGATGGACGATTTCTTTTCACAAAGATGGCCTCCTTTACTCCTCTCTCAAACCATCGTTCCTCTCTGTCCAGGATGTGAACATCTTCATCCCTGAACGAGTGTCACGCCAGCTCGTTGGTTCTTTCTCTGAGTTTCAAACGAGCAGCATCAGTTTTGGTCCAAACGCAGCTCTGAGCGTCCGTCTGGTCCTGAACAACGTGCAGGACGTGCGTGGATATGTACCGTGCAACAGCCTGGCCCTTTGCAGTGTTTATGAAACAAAGCACAGCTTGATGATGTGCAGATGTGGAGCTGCTGCCTCTTGTTTACAGCTTGTTTCCCGTTGACATCATGAAAACTTTTTTTTTTTACGTCAGTCCTTTCAGAAAGTGAAACTCATTTATTCATTAGAGTGAAACAGTTCAAGTCTTTATTTCTTTGAGTTTTCATGATTATAACTGACAGATAATTAAAGATCTAAACTCAGTGTCTCAGATGATTAGAATATTCATCAGCCAGCTGTTGGTAGTTTTGTCAGTGTGGGCTGGAGCCGAGTCCTGCTGGAAAATGGAACCAGCATCTCCATGAAGCTCATCAGAGAATGAAGCGTTAAGTGTCCTGCTAGATGCTGCATGGACTGAGGACTTCAGAGAACCCAGTGGACCAGCACCAGCAGAGGACATGGACCCAAACCATCACTGACTGTGGAAACTTCACTCTGGACTTGAACAACGTGGACTCTGGACCTCTCCACTCGTCCTCCAGACTCTGAGATGTTGATTTATAACTCTTTCATCTGAACAGAGGACGTTGGACCACAGAGAGACAGTCCAGGTCTTTGTCTCCTCAGCAGGTAAGACGCTTGGATGTCTCTGGTTCAGGAGTGGCTGGACTCGAGGAATGAGACGTTTGTAGCTCATGTCCAGGAGGTAATCAGCTGATCAGGAGTTTACAATACTGAACATCTTCACAATGTTCTAATGAATCGATGTAATCTGAGTTTTACTTTCTGAAGTGAAGACACAGATCAAGGTCTGAGGGAAACGTGGGTCCGGTTAAAGCATGGGTCTGAGTGGTCATCAGTGTCTGAAGGAAGACGTGGCTGTGATTTGATCCAGACTGAGACGCAGTAGATCAGGGCTGTTCAACGACATCACCCAGGGGGCCGGACATCCAGCTGCTGTCGTCATTGTTTGTTTTATGGGTTAAAATCTAGTTTTATTTGAAAATGAACCCATTGCTGGGCCGAACTGAGCTGAACAGCCCTGCAGTAGATGTTCCACTGGGTTTACTGACTCCTTGTCCTTTCTCACGGCTGCTGCACCTGCTCAGGTGTGTCGCATGGGGAAGCGAGCGAAAGACGACCTGCTTACGGTGGTGAAGATGGTGAAGGACTGCTACCCTGCCAAGGTGGACATCCTGAACATCTACGCCGGCCTCTACCATCAGACCTTCTCTGTTCGGCTGGCTGGGCTGACCTCCTCTGAGCTGGAGATAAAGGACTGCAGCTACGTGCTGTTCTGGGTCAACCACTACTATCCACGGTGAGTGTCCACTCAGACAAACCCTCAGCTGCCGTCGTGCGTTCAGTAAACCTCCTGATCCATGCACGTTCCTTCACGTTCGTCCATCTGGTCCTCCTCTGGCTCCAGATGGACGATGGTCATCATTTTTATGAAACTGCGCCTGAACAGAAAACATGCTCAGCTTTGAGTTGTGGATCATTTCAGGACCAAAAGGACTTTTGTTGTGCTTCCTGCTGACCGCACTGACCGCTGGTCTAAAATAAATTCAGTTTATTTCTGTAGCTCCAGGTCCCAACAGAAGTTATCTCAGGACTCTGAACAGAAACGTCCACAGACATTATAAATAGGGATCCACTTTTTTCACTTCCGATCCGATAACGATATCTGTGGTTTAGCATCGATTCGATACCGGTCTGGGGCGAAACAAAAAAACCAGTGCTGAATTAACAAAAATGGTGATTTATCCATGTTTATTGTCTACCTGGATGATTGAGCTTACAAACTGAATTCACTTAAAACATTTGTTTTTTGAAACGCAGACATGAATGTACTGAATTACAAATGTATTGAAAACTCTGCACCATGACCGCACATTGAAACACGCAGAGCTCGGTCAGACATGTAAAACATCAACTTTAATTCCTTCGGTCAGTACGTTAGCGTGTGACGTCACTCAGGGCACAAAGCATAGAGTTAGAATGAATAGATCTGCACAGTCATGGATCGATCACATTGTCACCGATACCCGATCCAGAAGCGTTTCGGTATCGGTACCGATACTTGGATCGGATCGGTACATGTCTAATTATAAACGCCAATTAGTAAAGTTCTCTAAGAAAGGAAGCTAAAATGTCTCATAATCCTGGGTCGGATAATAAAAAGAACTAATTACTCTTTTATCATCTCCAAATATTCTCGAAGTTGTAGGAGGTTCAATATTTGAATCATTTGATTTAATCGGATTAAAGGGTCCGTAGGTTCCAGCCCTGTCATTTGATCTAATTTATTAAAGTTACAGACGTAATCATCCTTGCTTTCTGTTTTACTTCTGTTTTCTGATCTCTCGTGGGCTTTAACCGTTTTCCTCTCCGCTCACGTCAGGACCTGGATGTGAACCACAGCTGCTGCTCGTTAATCTTCATCTCAGTAAATACACAAAACTTAGACAGGAATAATGTTATTGATTCTCATGAACTGTTTGTTCACCTCCCGACCTTCCTGTGTGGAGTTTGCATGTTCTCTACGTGTGGGGTTTCTCCGGTTACTCCACAGAAGAACACAAACATGCATGTAGGGACAGCAGTTGAAGAAAATGGATGAACTGTTTTCTTTGGGTTTTCCCCTCACGTAGAGTTTGTCTCGTCCTCCAGGCTCGCGCTGTGATTCGTTCTGAGCTTCATGTTCATGGACTTCCTGCTCTGCAGTGACCTCGGGTTCTGCTGCTTCAACTAAACACATTTCACTTATTAGCCTGCTTGTCCTCAGGCCAGTCTGTGGTGAAGCATGTGAAAGGATCGACAAACATTCAGGCGGAAGTCTAAACATTAACGGAACGAGTGAGGTGAAGCTCAAACATTAAAGCGTGTTGACACAACGCCAAAACAGAAAGACATCAGCAATAAACTGAGAGGAACAGCTGCTGCTCCTCATCAATCTGAAAAGGGTCAAAGGTCATTGCTATTTTTTTTTTGGAGTCCATCATTTTGCAGAGAGGAAGATTATTCAGAGGCGGGAAACATTTAAGACGGCTGACCGTCTCCTCAGGTTTGAATGTTCCAGTAAACTTACCCTGAAGGGCAGACTGTGCAATGCTCAGAGAAATGACCCTACAGGCCTCAGTCAGCAGGTCAAAGGTCATGGTCTCTTCTCTTTAAAAACGACATAGCTGCATGACTTAGGTTTGGAAAACAAAACCAGAACCAAAGAACAGATGTTTACCCAGAATGCACTGCAGCAGACGGCTCCTCCCAGCTGTCAGCACGGTGGAGGAGGCTGATGGTTCGGGCTCCTGTCAGTCACTGAGTGGACCAGGACCTCCTCTGTAGACCAAAGGGTTCTGGAGTCAGATGTGAGTCCATCTGTCCAACAAACTGGGTCCAACAGAACCATGATCCCAAACCCAGCAGCTGATCTACAACAGAACGGGTCAGAAAGAGTCCAGAACTTCAACCTGACTGAAACGCTGAGGTGGACCTTCAGAGAGCTGAGCAGGAATGAACCAAAGCAACGCTGCGAAGAGGAGTGGGCCAGAACTCTTCTAGAGCCTCCACGGAGAGTCTCTGCTGGTACCGGAGGTTCTACTGGACACAGTTTAACGTTTCGTTCTCGTTTAATCACGGCACAAAGACCGGATCAGTTTTATTGATCCTGACACAGAAAACTGTAGCTCTGACGGACAGTCTATATCTTGTACATCTATAGTGTGTTTGGAGAGTTGTGTCTTTACGAAACGTGACAGGAACTCGCTTCTTTCAACTCTTTTCTTTTTCAGGTTTCATGATTTGTGTGTTTGTTGTGTTTCCTCCCAGCGAGATCCTAAATCACAAAGAACTGGACGGCCTGATAAAGACGGCCTGCCTGGGTTCCCTGCTGCTGCAGGACGACTTGAACCGGCTGGAGGAGCAGTACCTGACCCACCGAGAGGTACAACCTCTGTGTCCTTCGTTCTCCACCGAGCTTCCACCGTTTTCAGACTCGCCGTTGGTTCACAACAAAAGCTGTGAAGTTTGACGATGTTTGGAGGAACCCGGTGTCTCCTTTAGTTTGCTGAGCTGCTGCTTCTTACAGGAACAGGTCAAACTGTGGCTGAGCACGGCCCTGAAGAAGGAGCAGGAAGGCTGGCTGAGCGGGAACACCCCTGAAGTTATGGACAGCTATTACTTCAGCCCGCTCGCCATCGACGTCATACAGGTGAGAGCTCAAACTTGCAGATGGACGCCGAAGTTCTTGGAGCTTGTCCGATGTGTCGTGTTGTTTCCAGGTGATAAACAGCTCCCTGACGGAGTTCAACCACACCATCCACGACCAGAACAAAGCTCAGAGGCTCACGGTTCAACTGGAGAACTTCCTGTGCAGGTAGACCGAGCCCACCACATGAAGGAGGACCGCCTGGATTGCAGTTTTAGTCCAGGTCCACATGGGAGGAGCATTTAGTGGAGACACAAAGATCTTATTGTTTCAGCTGTGAATCCACATGGAAACTGTTTTAAAACCCCTTAAAGCCACTGATGTGTTCTCATGTGGACAGCCTAAAGACAACTTGTTGAAAATGATACTCATAGCATCACTTTTACCTGACCTATGACCCAATGATGACAGATTACGTGCTGACAGATTACGTGCTGACAGATTACGTGCTGACAGATTACGTGCTGACAGATTACGTGCTGACAGATTATGGCACATGCTTGTGTTGCAGATGAAAATTGTTCATCTACAGCAAAACTTTAATTTTCTGTTACTTCAGTGAACAGACGAGCCCGATGAACGTAACGTTGCCGTACTTCCATCCATCCATCCATCCATCCATCCATCCATCCATCCATCCATCCATCCATCCATCATCTTCCTCTTGTTCTGGACTTCTTAAAGAACGTGTTTTATTTGTTAAACAGTCCAAATGTATGAGCGCTTTATGTTTTTAGTGAAAACTATTTCACTTTCTGACCTCGTAAATAGTTTCTAATTTCCACTCCGAGAAAGAGATGAACTTTGACGTTCACCAACTCAAACCTCATGATTTTTTATTGTAAAATAAGAGCTGTGGAAAAATAAAACTAAATGGAAGAATAACTAATGGAGACCAGAACAGATCATTAAAACACAAATATTCTGTGTTTTCTGTTACTCTTCCTCTTTTCAATCACAAAAATAGTGAATTTTCTGTAGAATCTCTTCACGTGTTCTGAAAAACTTTACTACTTAATATTAACTTTTTATAAATGCATATTTTGAAGAATTTAATTTAAATGAAACCGTTCTTCTGAGTCAGATTTTATTTTGAAACTACCTTCCAGGAAGCTGATATATCAACCAGACAACACAAATAGCTGCACATTGTTTGTTCTTTAGATTAATCGGTGAATTTATTTATTTTTCTATCATTTTTTTAACCTTTGTTTTTTATTAATTACATCTTTTATTTGTGGGAGTCCTAACTTTGGTGGCTGCAAGGATAACAACAAAATAAAATAGATCTTCGTATAAAAGTTTCCTAACGATGTAAAGGAGCAAATTAGCCACAACGATGGAGATTTAATAAATTTAACTCTGGTGTGTGTTAATCTCTTTTAATCCTGAATATGTTTTGTAAGGCTGATCTGAGGTCAGATGTGTTTGTTTCAGCTACAAGAAGTGTTTGGAGGAGCTTGTGAAGGGAAACCACAGCAACGTGCGCTCCGTGGTAAAAGCTCAGCTGGCGTGTGAGCAGCAGCTCAGGTAAGCTCACGTCTGCATCACCTCGGAGGGTGCACGTACGTGCACGTGACGCATGATCTTTAGCTGCTGGTTTTGATTTCAGAGCCCTCGGAGCTCATTAACTCAAACTGCCAGCCCAACTGTTATCCCACCCCAATGCATTCTGGGAGCTGTAATCATTAACTGTTAATTGATCTTATTTTCACGTCCTCAGCGATTATATAACTCGACAAACAGGAAGTCTGTCCGAAGAGCAGCAGCGTCGCTGTCTGGACTCTCTCTCTGCCATGAGGGATTGTGGGTACAGGTGTTTTACCTGTCCTCTTCATGACCAGACCAAGGTACAACTCCCTGTACACACAGAATTATAGTATTATTTTTAAAAATATGATGTTCAATTGTAGAATTAATCTGATACGAGAAAGTTAGGGATTAAACTTAGTTAGAAAACAACTAGACTGACATTTGGAAACAAGATCTGACGATTCAAGGTTCAAGTTCTTTATCGTCATTTGCATCACATGTGGTACATGAGGTGGAATGAAATTGTGTACTCAAGGTCCCAGTTACACCCATACATAACAAAAATATAAAGTACAAAAAGAAACGGTATCCAAGAATTTAAGATATACTCTAAACAATAATAATGTAAAACTATACGGTGTATTTTAAGCAGCAGCCTGAACATGAGATTGTGTAGAAAAACAAACTGGATCTGACATTAAAAGGAGAAAACGAGGAACGCTGATGTCCCCCGAGTGTTTTTCTGGACTGGAATTGAACAGGAAAGTAAACCTAAATGTTTTTGATGATTCAAGTGGCAGGAGTTACGCTGCTGAAGAACAGCGGGAGGTTTTCTCTTTCGTCTTCATCAAGACGGTGCAGAGTGGTGGATTTTGGTGAGTGGAGGGGGCGATTTCATCCACCACCAAGAGCAGTGGAGGAGCCAGGGGGTGGCCAGTGGTGGCCAAGGCCACCATAGATTAACCTTTGGCCACCCCAAGGGCCATCTTAATCATTTGAGGAAACTATAATTTTAAGCGATATAACTAGAAAGTGTAGTTTCCTCAAATGATCGGGGTGCTCGGTTTACTTATACTCATGATGGTAGCCATCTTGGATTTTGACATGACGCCACCTAATGTTTGATAGTGACCTTTTCTACTCCTAGATGCAGCCACACATCATAAAAAGAAGTTTGTATCTCACTTATTTTTCAAGTTAATCTCAAAACACGAATGGAGGTATTTCCACTTCCCTCTTTTTGCTCCGTGACGGGGGGAAAGAATGACATATGGGGAGGGTGATTACTAGAGTGTCTGCAGCTGAGCTGACAAGGATCAGAACAGGTGGTTGCATCTGACACGAGGTCAGGAAATAAAACAGAAAATATTCAGGAACAGATTCAAGACTTGAGAACAAGAAAGACCTAACAAAAAAGAAATATCAAGCAGATGTTAAATGAAATATATTCATTACATTTACAGTATCTACACAATTGCATATCTATCTATATCTATATCTCTATCTATACATCTATATATAGATAGATAGATATAGATAGATATATATAAAAAAAAATAATATATATATATATATATGTGTGTGTGTGGTGTTCACTTTGATAGAAAGATAAGGTTTAGTGACATGTTGTCCTGTTGTAAAAATAATAAATTCAATGCAGCTGTATCTTTGCTGTCTTTCAAAATGATTTGGTTATTTGTTTCTATTTTGCTGTCTGGTTTAAAAATTGATCTCCAAATTGACCGAAGGAGCCAGATTTTATTAGAAGGTTGTTGTTGTTGCCTTAAAGTCAGTTTTCAAGTTGATCTTTTCACTTCAGAATCTGTTTTCTTGCTGGTGAACATTGTCAGGCACGTCTGAGTCCGCTGTGGACGTCCGTCTGGGTGGACGGCTCACTTCCTGTTGTCGACTCGCTGCTGGACTTTCTGAACCAACAGCTAGTCGACCTGTCTGACCTGAAACCAGCCTGCAGACAGGTGACGCACCGCCCCGCTTGTACTGCGTGCACGCCTGTCTCCACACCGGTGTAACTCGCCCGTGTCTTCACAGTCCCTGCTCTGCGTGCTCTATCAGAACGTGGTCCTTCAGTATGTGAAGAAGATGATGAAGACGAGGAGTAAGAGCAGGGAGCAGCAGGTGGCCGGAGCTCAGCGGATGATCGAAGACGCACAGAAAATGGACAAGTTCTTCACAGAGGAGGTGAGACGTGCGCTTGGATGGATGGGTACCATGGGGTGGATCATGGTTCTTATAACGCCCAGGTTTGAAGAACCCTCTCCGTTTTGTCACGAAACGTTTTTGTTTTTAAACGTTTATTTGACACCGTTACAAAAAGAACCCCTAAAGTGTAAAGTAACACAAAGGCATGGAACGGCACCGTTCTGTCCACAAAACAACAAACTGTTCACCATATCTTCCATGAAATGTGTCACACCTGTCCTGCTGAGAACACCATCCCTACACTGAGGCACGGTGGTGGCCGCATCATGCGTCAGCAGAGACTGGGAAACTGGTCAGAGCTGATGGTAAAATGGATCCAGAAACACTTGAACATGTTTGAGAAAGAGGAACAAAGTTGTGGAACTGTCCGGTCAAAGCCCAGACCTCGATCCAACTGAGACTGCGAGGGGTGTGCGTGTGCGCGCTAAGGTTTTCAAGAGTGATTTTTTTGTCTTATTTTACCGTAAGACACATTTAGCATCTTCAAAGTGGTCTTTATGTTGTGCAAATTCAAATTCATTTAAAGATCCAGGTTCTAACGAAACCAAAAGAACGCTTAAGGGGGTGGATACTTGGTACCGGTTAGAAACTCACCCTCGACCTGAAGAGAACAATCCACCCTTTTCCAGTTCAGAACCACGGCCTCAGATCTGGAGGTGCTGGTTCTCATCCCAGCTGCTTCACACTCGGCTGCAAACCGCTCCAGTGAGAGCTGGAGATCACGGCACAATGACGCCAACAGGACCACATCATCTGCAAAGGGCAGAGATGGAATCCTGAGGCCACCGAACCGGACTCCGTCCACCTCCTGACTGCACCAAGAAATTCTGTCCATAATGGTTCTGAACAGAATCGGAGACAACGGGCAGCCCCGGTGGAGTCCAACTCCCACCCTGAAGGGTGACTTACTACCAGCAATGAGAACCAAACTCTCGCACCGCTTGTAGGGACTGAACAGCTTGTAACAATGGGTCCCCAATCCCATACTTATGGAGCACCCCTTACAGAGTACCCTGAGGAACACAAGTCAAATGCTTTCTCCAAGTCCACAAAACACATGTAGACTGGATGAGCAAACTCCCATGACCCTGCGCTGGTGAAGATTCTCCGTCATCCAGGACATGGTAAATTAAAAAAAAGTTCAAGACAAAAACAACTGGACTTTATTTGTAACAGAAGACGTTTCGCTTCTCATCCGAGAAGCTTTCTCAATTCAAAGAGCAGAGCGTGTGGGGTTCAGGTTATAAAGCTGAGATAAGACACACATACATATGCAGATTGACCTATTACACCTCACAGTAGGAGTTTAAGGTTTTTGTTAATGTAATTCACAGATGAGGCCCCTCTGGTCACATCTGATGGGTGTAAAACTGGCTGGGGATCAGTCCTAAAGCTGCATTACAAATTTTTGAAAGTTGAAATCTGAGGCCTCCTCCTCTGTTTAGAGATGGTTTCTCTTTTTTCCACTCCCCTCTCAAACTGACCTCAAATTTCAACTTTCAAAAACTTATAATGCAGCTTTAGGACTGATACCCAGCCAGTTTCACACCTATCAGATGGGACCAGAGGGACATCATCTGTGAATTGCATTAACAAAGACCTTAACAAACTCCCACTGTGAGGTGTGACAGGTCAATCTGCATATGTATGTGTGTATCTTAGCTCAGATTTATAACCTGAACCCCACACGCTCTGCTGACTTTGAATTGAGAAAGCTTCTTGGATGAGAAGTGAAACGTCTTCTGTTATAAAGTAAAGTCCAGTTGTTTTTGTCTTAACTTGAATTTCCCATGACTGTGAGTTTCAGTGTCCTGGAAGTATTTCACAGTACTGTGTTCAGTATAATTATGTATTTCAGTAGTACTTCTTTATTTCAGGGTTGCAGTGAGACATCGTGGCTCCATGTGATGCTCTGTGGCCTCGCTGAGATTATCCGTCTGCAGGATCCCGCCAGCATCCAGCTGGAGTTCGTAAATCTGGCTCGGACTTTTCCTGACCTCAGGTACTCCGTTTGTTCACACCACTCTGAAGTGTTGCACAGTATTTTTGGGATGGGGACAGTACTCATCACTGTGAAGGATTTCCCAGAACACACCACATTCACATCCTGTCCTCCTGAACGTCCTCTCTGCTCTCGGTCGGGCGAGTGTTAAACATCAGTCACTGTCCCGTTGACGACCAACAAAGCCGCCTCACTGTTCTCCAGCTGATGATGTAATCTGTTTTATAGTCACGGCTGTTGCTGACTGGTTTCCAGTCTGAGGCCCAAAGGGACAAAGCGTCAGAGGACGACTCGGATAAAACTGACTCTGTTCAACCGCTCACTTCATCTGAGCTTTGAGCTCTGATCTGCTGTGAAATAACAGCTGCTACACAAAATGTCCTGCAGTGAAGCTTTGGACGCTTGTCTCTGTCAACATGATGCGTCAATTATTAACTTATCCTTTTGGATATGAAATAACTCTGACACGTATCACGTTCAGTAGATAAAGCTGAACAAAGAGCTCGCATACCTCGGTGCCGCAGCTTTCTTATTTAAACTCTTTCTGAAAAACAGCTGAAATTAGCTTAAAAAACCATGCTGAAAAGTAGAACAAGCTTAAATTAACAGAAGAAAGCAGAAAGAACAAGTTTCTCCAATTAAGAAGCAGAAAGGAGCGCACAAAAGTGGAAATTATCTGAAAAAAGCTGAAATTAGCCAAAGAAGTAGCTAAAATTGCAGAAAGAAACTTAAATTACCCGAAGGAAGTGGAGAGAGCACATTTTTACTGAATTAGGCTGAAGAACTGCTGATACACAGCTTTACATCAGGACTGGGGCATCATCTTCATCATTGTCATCTCCATCTTCACTCGCTGACCTCTCCACCTGCCTGGAGGAGATGAGGGCATGGATGAATCAGAACTTTCTTCAGTTAAACTGCTCCAAAACAGAGACCTTACTGAGTGGCACCCCTCACCAGGTTCAAACTTCAACTATAACGACTGTTTCATTTTCTGGACGAGACATCCCCCTCTCCACCTCTGTTACAAATCTTGGAATGAGAATGGACTCTCATCTTTCATTTGAAAATCACATTAAGCATCTGTTTAAAACCCGTTTCTTCCATCTTCGAAATATCTCCAAACTGCGCCCATCTCTCACTTTTGCTGATGCAGAGAAACTCGTCCATGCTTTTGTCTCCTCCAGGCTCGACTCCTGCAACTCCCTGTTTACTGGAATACCCGGCAAAAACCTTCAGAAGCTTCAATATATTCAAAACAGTGCAGCCAGGATTTTATTGAGAGCTCGTAAATTTGAACATATTACACCCATTCTCCATAACCTCCACTGGCTTCCTGTCACGACAGAATTCAGTACAAAATGTTCTCATCCCCGTCAGTGTTTATACGGATGTTCACCAGATTATCTGAAGGACCTTCTTGCTCCATATTCATCCACCCGGTCCCTACGATCACAGAACAGTCATCTCCTCCACCTTCCACGAACTAAATTAAGAACCATGGGAGATCGGGCATTCTGTGTGGCTGCCCCCCCCCACCCCCCACCTCTGGAACTCCCTCCCTGACTGAGAGCTCCACAATCATTGACTGACTTTAAAAAAGGCTTAAAGACTTTTCTTTTTAAGCAAGCCTATTCTGCCTCCACATGATTGTATCATTGATTTTAGTTGATTTTATCATTGATTTTAGTTGCACTCTGTAGCACTTTGAGATTTTTGTTAATGAAAAGTGCGTTACAAATTAAATTCATTATTACTAAAAAAGTTTAAATGAGTGCAAAAAATGTGGAATTGGCTAAAAAAGCTAAAATTAACAGCTAAATAGTAGCTGAAATAACAAACTGGCAGAAATAAGCTGAAAGGAGCAAAAAGCTTAAATTAGCGCAAAACAGCTAAATAGCTGAAATAGCAGAAACAAACTGAAAGGAGCATAACGAGCTGAAATTAGCAGATAGAAGTTATAAGAAGCACAAAAATGTTGTAGTTAGCAGAAAGAATCTGAAAGGCGCAGAAAGCGGCTGAAAAAACAGCTGAAATTAGTTGAAAATGGGTGAAAAAAGTTTAATTTAGCAGCAGGAAGCTGAAAGAAGCTGAAGCAGAACAAATTGTGAAAGGAGCAGTAAAAGGTTTTAAACACATCTAAAGATTTGAAGGATGTAAAATGAGCTCAATTTATTTTCTATGAGAAAAAAATGTCAGAAAAAGCCAAATATTTCAAACAGCTAAAGTTGCACCAATACCAAAAGTCACAGCAGGATTGTCCTGAAAGAGCCGAAGGTTTTGATTCATGATTTGTTGAAATGGCACAAAACATGTGGAACGAGAAAGATGCTGAAAAACGTACAGAATAAAACCGGATCGGAGTGGATGCTTCATAAACGTTCACACTAATTTCCTGTGAGACTCTTCTGTTGAAATTTAGTTTTCCTTCGTAGGGTAGTGGGTGATACCCCCGCTGACATTTTCAGAAGTTTTATTTTCTAATTCAGTTCAGTTTATTTCTAAAGCTCCAAGTCTCAACAGAAGTCGTCTCAGGCTCTGAACAGAAACATTCATCTATAAAATAATAATTTAACATCATTTATCTGAGGAGCAGCTCTGAGTTCAACTCCATCACAGAACCCTCATCCTCCTGTTACTGCCAACATATTCCCACATCATGCAGTTCATTGTGTTGTGATGAAAACAGAAACTCAGGTGATACACCTGGATCGGTCAAGGTACTTTCTACGAACCAGGTTTTCACAGATTGTCTCCAGAAAGCCTCTCTGTTTGTGCAGGACAGCAATCATTCGGAGTAACTGTCATTTTTTTTAAACGTTTTTGTCCAGAGTAGAGTGCTTGGTGGTCCAGCTTCAGGTAACACACCTGACACCTGACACCTGACGTACAGCCAAACCTGTTTGTTCCACTCCTGTGTGTGTGTGTGTGTTACATGTGTTATTGTGCGTCCTCTTACACAAACACGGTGACCTGAATATTAAGAATTCCTGGATGTGTTGGAGTCAACAGGGAGCGGCGGGGTGGGGGGTGCTCAGGTGTCCCGGTTGTGTTGCCTCAAAGGAGAAATGCTGAGAGCGGCCAGTTGAAAACAAAAACATTCTGAATGACGTTCCACGTGTGTTGGGTTCAACTCAGACTGCTTATCATCAGACAATCAGGTTTCCAGTGACTGGGCTGATCTACGTCTGAGGCGGCTGAAGCTTCTGAGTCAAGAACTAATGAATAAACTCATTGGGACTCGTTTTGATGCTTTTCTCTTGGACCAAGCGGTTGTTGATGACTATGGGTTGAAGAATTCTGAAATTTCCCAAATGACCACCTGTCTTTATGAGCTTTTCCTCTGATTGAGCTTAAACCGGTTTTAGGAAGTCCAACATAATGTAACAGGTGGCCGAGGAGCCAGAAATCTTCCATCCAGTGTGAGTCACTGCCTGCGGAGGGAAGTTTGCACAAAAAATGACCTTTCCACATTATTTTTCAACATTTAAACCAGTCTCTGATCCTTACGGTTTCTGCACAGCTTTTATAACCGTTTAGAGTCCCCTTCAGCTCCTGCTTCGGAGGAGGAGCTTAGCTCAACAGGAACCAAAGAAGCTCATGATTGGCTTAATCATAATTCAAAAATACTTTATTAATCCTAAAGGGAAATGAATTGTTGTTGTAGCTCATCTTGGTTTCATTAGAGTTGTTATAGAGGCTGATGGCTTTTGGCCGGAAGGATCTCTTGTAGCAGTCTGTCCCACAGCGGATCCAAAGAAACTGGCTGCAGATACCGATCCATCCACCCAGACCCAGCAGACCTACTGGTCCTCTTGGGCAGCAGGACTGCCTAAATGCCGGGAAGAAATCCTCCCCGAGCGATGGCCATTTCTCCCAGCAGCCTGCTGAGCCCCTCGTCACCGCAGACTTAACTGCAGGTGCCAGAGGACGATCTCGGTCCTCCCGCTGTCACGAGCTGCGTTTCCTGCTACCTCCAAGATCTCAGTGGTCAGGCACTCGAGCACCGCCTCCAGGTAGATGGTAATGCATCCACAGCACCTCCTTTTCAACGCATTTTGGGATTTAGAGCTGTAGTTGAGGTATTATTTGAGCTTTTGAGATGTTAATCAGCAGCTTCCAATTGTAGAAAACCACCTTGTTGTTATGATTGTGCATCATAACAAATGTCCAAAAGTAAAAAAAGGTTTCAGTAAAAATCCTTCTAGCGACACAGCATCTGATACCAGAGGAAGTAATCATCCGAAACCAGAGGAAGTAATCATCCGAAAAAATCCATTTACATCCAGAAAAGATCTTTAACATAGAATGATCAACATGCAGCTTGTTCAGTTTATCTCCTGCCACATTTCAAAGTGCATTGTATGTTAAACATGTGTGTCCCTGTCAATCACTGGTGCAGCCGTTGTAGAGTTTTGACTCACCTTTGAGAAAGTCTCAAACTCGCCGTCTTTGATTCCTGGAGTTTTATTTCACTCCAAAATCGTTTCCAACATAATTCAAATAGCACAAGTTTGTGTGTGCAATCAAAAGACTAAACGTCTATTGGGCCACACATCAGCCTCAAAAACAACAGAAGATAAATACATTTTAGATAATTACCATGAACTGCCCACAAGCAGGTGCTGGACATTAAAACAATGGAATGGTCTTCATACATCAGTTGTGGCCGTAATGAAACGTGCCCAGTCTGCAGATAGCAGTGGTGGTTTGTATAGTTTGGTAAAAACGTTAATGATACACGTGTTTAATTAGCATACACCTTTTGTGTAACAGTCAGAGGTGGAGGCCTTGGTTCAATCCCTGGTGGCTGATCCTTAATTCAGGGTTTCTTGTTCCTCCGTGGCACATTTCATCTCCTTCCTTTGTGACTTTGAATTATGGACAAAGGAAACAGTCAGAGTCTGGTGGTAGAGGCATCTGTAAGAAATGTGCCTCACCTTTAGTTTTATTGAACATTCCTGTCAAGAATGTTTTCTTTAACTAATCATTTGTTTGGCTGATTCTTTGATTGCTTGTGTGTTGTCTCTTCAGTGGCCCTCATGTGTCGGCATTGCTGTCCATAAAAAACGGATTATCGTCTGCTGACGTTCGCTCGATTAGACTCAGCGTGGAGGAGAACCGTCTGCTGGATGTCTCCACCAATCAGAGCCCTCAGTTCTTTTCCAGGGTCAAAGTAAAATGGATCAATAACAAAATAAATCAAATGGGACTCAAGAGTTAAAATGTTAGCATGTTGGCAAAGTTGGATGTTAGCCGCATGTAGCTGGTACAAACCGGATTCCAAAAAAGTTGGGACACTAAACATATTGTGAATAAAAACTGAATGCAATGATGTGGAGATGGCAAATGTCAATATTGTATTTGTAATATAACATAGATGACAGATCAAAAGTTTAATCTGAGTAAATGTAACATTTTAAAGGAAAAATATGTTGATTCAAAATTTCAGTGTCAACAAATCCCAAAAAAGTTGGGACAAGTAGCAATAAGTGGCTGGAAAAAGGAAATTGAGCATATAACGAACAGCTGGAAGACCAATTAACACTAATTAGGTCAATTGACAACATGATTGGGTATAAAAAGAGCTTCTCAGAGTGTCAGTGTCTCTCAGAAGCCAAGATGGTAAGAGGATCACCAATTCCACCATTGTTGTGCAGAAACGCAGTGCTGTTTGCGCTGTGCGTAAGGGTCAAGGCCGTAAAACTCTTCTGGATGCTCGTGATCTCCGGACCCTTAAACGTCACTGCACCTCAAACAGGAATGCCACTGTCAAGGAAATAACAGAATGGGCTCAGGAATACTTCCAGAAAGCATTGTCAGTGAACACAATCCACCGTGCCATCCGCCGTTGCCAGCTGAAACTCTACAGTGCAAAGAGGAAGCCATTTCTAAGCAAGCTCCACAAGCTCAGACGTTTGCACTGGGCCAGGGGTCATTTAAAATGGAGTGTGGCAAAATGGAAGACTGTTCTGTGGTCAGATGAGTCACGATTTGAAGTTCTTTATGGAACACTGGGACGCCACGTCATCCGGACCAGAGAGGACAAGGATAGCCCAAGTTGTTATCAACGCTCCGTTCAGAAGCCTGCATCACTGATGGTATGGGGTTGCATGAGCGCTTGTGGCATGGGCAGCTTGCATGTCTAGAAAGACACCATTAATGCAGAGAACTATGTTCAGGTTCTAGAACAACATATGCTCCCATCTAGACGTCATCTCTTTCAGGGAAGACCCTGCATTTTTCAACACGATAATGCCAGACCACATTCTGCAGCAATCACAACATCATGGCTACGTAGGAGAAGGATCCGGGTACTGAAATGGCCAGCCTGCAGTCCAGATCTTTCACCTATAGAGAACATTTGGTGCATCATAAAGAGGAAGGTGCGACAAAGAAGGCCCAAGACGATTGAACAGTTAGAGGCCTGTATTAGACATGGATGGGAGAGCATTCCTATTTCTAAACTGGAGAAACTGGTCTCCTCTGTCCCCAGACGTCTGTTGAGTGTTGTAAGAAGAAGGGGGGATGCCACACAGTGGTAAAAATGGACTTGTCCCAACTTTTTTGGGATTTGTTGACGCCATGAAATTTGGAAACAACAGATTTTTCCCTTCATATGATACATTCTCTCAGTTTAAACTTTTGGTCTGTGATTTGTGTTCTATTCTGAATAAAATATTAGATGTTGGCACCTCCACATCATTGCATTCAGTTTTTATTCACAATTTGTTTAGTGTCCCAACTTTTTGGAATCCGGGTTGTATTTGTTGTTGTCTTTTTGTGTTTCTTGTGTATCATAACTGTATAAATGGAGCTTGTGGTTACAGGTAACTAACTTGACAGACTACTCAAATCTCAGAGGAGTTGGAAAACCAGATTAAACTCAGCTCAGCTTCAGTTCTGGTTTGGTGTTCCTCACGGCTGAGTGCTGGTTGCCCTTTCGTTTTGCTTGTAAAATTTGATCAGTGAAAGTGTTCAAATATGGCCACTTTGAATTATTCTGCTTACTGTACAACTGAACTGCTACTTGTCTTTAGCTTGCTGCTACATGAACTAAACTAATATTATCAAATCAACTTAACATAAACACAAGGTATTTATGCAGATCCAAATATTTTTGACTTTGTGGTTTTGCTTTTGACTCTAGATGAACGGCATGTATTATTATAGGAACAGCTGATTATTGTGAATTGTCCCTAGATGCATTTCAATAAACATCTAAATATGTAAAGCTGCTGTGTTATGTTTTTTAGCTCTGAGATTATTTTTTTACATAAATTAATTCAACAAACTTTTTAAAAAAAGAGCTCCTGCATGTTATTTACTGATGATCCGTGTGCATAATACTGCTTATCAGTATATTTCATGTCCTTGCATGGACTTTTTTTTTCATTTTTATGTAAGATGTATAAAAAATGGAAAAGGCACAGAAGTGAAATCATAATATTCTGTGTCAGAGCTGACACACAATTTTTTCAAATCAGATTCTTCACACTAGATACGTGTTTAAAAGTCCCATCTATGAACCACTTTACAATCCTGGTGTCACATGACTCTTTTAAGGCTTCAAGTAAGAAGTTCCAACTAAACGTATTGGGGAAAAAAAAACGTTAACATACAGCAGCAAGGTAACTACACTGAACAAAAATATAATCACAACACTTTAGTTTTTACTCCCATTTTTCATCAGCTGACCTCAAAGACCTAAGATGCTTTCTCAAAAGTCCTATTTCTCTCAAATATTGTTCACAACTTTGTGTAAATGTGTTCGTGAGCGCTTCTTTACCGAGATAATCCACCAGGTGTGGCATATCAAGATGCTGATTAAACAGGTGTGCTTTAGGCTGACCACAACAAAAGGCCACTCTAAAATGTACAGTTTTATCACACAGCATGATGACACAGATCCCATTGAGCCACGGGGACTGGTTTACAAGAGAGACCTGGTTTTAACAAAGAGTGATGACAACAATAGACAATCATAAACGAGGCATACAAGAGCGGTTTGAGAGGTTTCTATATGAAACACTAGAGGGTGGCCTGGTCATGTGACCATGTGATTCACTGAAGGTCATTACCAAAATTAAAGTGGCTGGCTATGTAAAAAATGTCCAAAATTAAAATAAAATTTAATAGAATGTATATAAAATGGTGAGTGAGAGAGTGAATGGTTGTTTGTCTCGTTTGTCTCTATGTGTCCCCGTGATGGACTTGCGACCTGTCCAGAGTGTCCCCCGCCCCTCGCACAGTGATTGCTGGACATGGGCACCGGCGACCCCCCTGACCCAAAATGGAAGAAGCGGGTAAAAGATGATGGATATAAAATGTAAAAATGTTATAAAGCTGTGTGCACTACAAAACTGGGAACAGAAGGAAAAATGGAAAACACCTCTCCTTTCACAAATAAGCAGATTATTGTATTTATCTCAACGTGGATGTGATCTAATAACCATTTAAAATAGCATATAAAACTGTAACGGCTGTTAATTATTGAATGTTTAATTCCTTTTTATATTTGAGTTGCTTTTCATTTAATTATTGTTGTCTGCACTTTATATGTTGTCTGTCTCAAACAGGTATCTTGAAAACGAGTCCTCGTGACTCATTGAGACGTCTTCCTTCGGCTTTTCCCTCTTCAGGGGTCTCCACAGCGAGTGATCTCACTCTGTCCTCTGTCCAACTACCTCCATGTCCTCTCTAACTGCATCCATATATATCCTCTTTGTCTTACATCCTTCTACCAATACACCCACTGTCCCTCCTCTGGACATGTCCAAACCACTGTCCCTCCTCTGG